AGAAGGATATGTTCTTTGGTCAACATATTCATGACATAATCAATGGGTATCAAGTATTATGTGGTCAAGAAAATCCGCATATTCATTTGTATCTGATTCATATGATACATTAGTTAAATTATGGGATACACGTTCATTAAAAGCTTCTCTTTATGATCTTCAAGGACATGAAGATCGAGTTTTGTGTGTTGATTGGTCAATAGAACAATTAATTCTTTCAGGAGAAGCTGATAATTCATTGAAAATGTTTTCATTTAAATGAAAAAAAAATTGTTGGTTTTTTTAATTATGTAATAGAAACTGTTACCGTTTTTTCTTCATTATTATTTCGAATAAACTGTTAACAATATGATCGATTAAGATCATTATATATGTCTCAGATGTATCGGTAAGAAATCGTAGGGTGTGGGTATATTTGCTCCACACCCTCCACTTAGAGTTTACTTCTCCATTTTACGACAGTTATGTTCTTTGATATGAAACTTTCACAATTTATATTACTATAGGTATCCCACTGAGAAACGCAATCAAAATCTCTTTCTTCTCGATTATTATATGACAAGACGATATTTCATAAGTTGTAGATGCATCCTCTACATTGTCATCAAAAGAATATGGACGACTCTTGGCTGCTAAATATAATTCACATTCGTTGCTGCACCCATATCCCACACCCAAAACAGCATTAATACAATGAATTCGTGGGCACGATAAACTATATTTGCCTTGTTTTGAATCTCATGAAATTCCAATAGCATGTTTATCTTATCATGTGTGCACTACTAAATTCTATATGAATTGAACAGAAATACATGAGTATGATTCGAAGAGTTGTCTCTTATTCATTTTGCTTAACAACACATTAAATATTGGGTTATTTCGAACATCAATAAAGTGTCTACAAAGAAATTAATAAAACGAAGTCTATATTCATGTTCGTCTCTAGTCTATACAAATGTGTTTCCTTGAAATATAAATTTCTCATTGATTGATCAATATCTGAAGTTTCTATCAATTGTCAAATTCTTAGTTGATTTCCTTTCCAGAATTTAATTATTGTTGCAATCAATGATTTTTTTAAATATAACCTGAAATGCACTGTTAGCCGAAAATATAAATTTTATTTTTGTCAATATAATGTCTAAAGTGTACGAATACTTCCATCTACTGGTAGAAATTCACGCAATTATGTTTATTCTAACTCAAAAAAAAATTCGATCTTTTTCGATAAATTAGATAAAAATTACAATATGAATTATTTTTCATTTAGTTTTATTATTGTTTTTTTTTTGTAGACTCTGTTAAATAAAAGTATTGGCTCCGGCTGTGACTCCATTCGAGTCGAGTTTTTGGGAGGCCGGAATTTCGGCCCAAGGAATTTTCGGCCCGGAACTTCGGCCCGGTCCCAAAGTCCGGCGGATTTTCGGCCCGGGCCGAAATATCATCGGAAATCCGGCCCAGGACGAAATTCATCTCACTGCTATTCATTAAAAAAAGTCCAACTCCAATGAGCAGTTAGCACATTTCGTAGTGCTGACGAGGGAACCTTTTCAACTGTCCAATCGCTTTTGAGTTCGAACTCAGTTTGAAAGATAGACCCCAGTGAGGTATGAAAAGGCTCAAAAGGATAAGTGCCCATAGGCCTTCCGTCCAGAGTTATAGGCATTTTACTGGATTTTTAGCCTATGGCGCAGTATATACCAAAAAAATCGAATGACAATATTTCGAGCTGAGATTGTGTCCAAAGATAGGTCTATGTACCAATAGAATGCCCTGAAAATTTCAGCTCAAAAGAATGTTCCAATCTCGAGATATTGAACACCCAAAAGCCAAAAAATTCTAGCATCATTCGCGGGATATGCGTGATTTTTGGGAGTTTAATATCCCGAGATTGAAACATTCTTTTGAGCTGAAATTTTCAGGGCATTCTATTGGTACATAGACCTATCGTTGGACGAAATCTCAGCTCGAAATATTGTCATTCGATTTTTTGGTATATACTGTGCCATAGGCTAAAAATCCAGTAAAATGCCTATAACTCTGGACAGAAGGCCTATGGGCACTTATCCTTTTGGGCCTTTTCATACCTCACTGGGGTCTATCTTTCACACTGAGTTCGAACTCAAAAGCGATTGGACAGTTGAAAAGGTTCCCTCGTGAGCAGTACGTCATAGTGCTAAGCACTACGTCATAGTGCTGAGCAGTACGTCGCAGTGCTAAGCAGTACGTCATAGTGCTGAGCAGTACGTCGTAGTGCCGAGCAGTACGGCGCAGTGCTAAGCAGTACGTCATAGTGCTGAGCAGTACGTCGCAGTGCTAAGCAGTACGTCATAGTGCTGAGCAGTACGTCGTAGTGCCGAGCAGTACGACGAGTGCTGAGCAGTACGACGTACTGCTCAGCACTACGTCGTACTGCTCAGCACTGCGACGTACTGCTCAGCACTATGACGTACTGCTTAGCACTACGTCGTACTGCTCAGCACTCGTCGTACTGCTCAGCACTACGTCGTACTACTCAGCACTCGTCGTACTGCTCAGCACTACGTCGTACTGCTCAGCACTACGTCGTACTGCTCAGCACTACGTGGTATTGCTCAGCACTACGTAGTGTGCCAACTAGTCACAGAAATATGGCTTTTTTCAAGGAATTGACGAGGTGAATTTCGGCCCGGGCCGAAAGGCATGAAGGACTTTCGGTCCGGGCCGAAAAATCACCGGACATTCGGACCGGGCCGAAAGTCCGGGCCGAAAATTCCTTGGGCCGAAATTCATGTAACCCGAGTTTTTGAATTTGCTACAAGCGTTTCTGCTTGCTAGTAAAATGACAAATATATGAGTAGCAATGTAGTGATTCCAGTAGATGTGGATACAGAAATTCTAATTAATATATTCACAGTGTAAATGTCTCGATAAAGGAATGTTAAATGGAATGATTGATAAAGAACAAATACATTACTTGAAAATTTACATATAACTAAAAAAAACTCGACTTTAGTTAGGTATGGATCAATTTTACTGATCAGTTGATATATTATACAATTAGAATTAGTACCTTTCATAAGAATGTATTTGTCCGAAATCTTGTTCCACATCTTCTTTTTCCGTTTCTCATTCAAAGAAAAAATAACATATAAAATTCTGTGTTTAATTAGTTACAATGTTCTTTATTGATAAATTTTTTGTGACATTGAAAAACATCTTGAAGGATACAATATTTTTATTTAACTTTTATCAACATAAAATGATAGGTGATGCTGTTTTTTGTTACTGATATGAAGAGTAAATAAAAGTAAAAAAAGAATAATCCATCTCGACGAGTTGAAAATAGAATAATAATTAACAATGAAATAATGAAAAGAAATCTACATTTTATTTAATTTTTATTGTAAACATTCATCTATTCATAAAAATATAATTGCCTTTAAATAAATTGAGTTAGAAAGTTTTTCCCATCGAGAATAGTATTGTTCCAAAGGAAATTATCCTTGGCAGTTTCATATGTCATCAAGAAAAGTTTTATAATCGTGTGTAACACATTTTTATGATCTTCGAGTTGAGAAAATTTCATTTACATTATCTAGTCGAAAAAAAGATAAGAAAAGAATGAAATTAAAAACAAGTGTTTATTTTCAAAAGTCAAATATTAAATAGTTTAGAATTTTTTAATTTTAGCATATCATTAGATTTTTTTCGGTGATTCATTGAAATAAATCAGTGGCTGGCTATTTCTTTATAAACATGAAATAACTAAGTAAACATTCCTATTTTGGAAGCTTCATATATTAACAACAATAAACGATGCAAATGAAAAAAAGTACGCCAAAATGAATATTAACTTTTTACCTATACAAACTTGGAATGAGTAAGAAGAGCTGATGTTATCAGAATAAGTAAACGTGTCATAAGATTTATGTAGCAATGGTATTGTCCATATGTATATTTATATCTGTGTTCTATTTCTTTTTGTACTCACATAAAATTAATCATTGTGTCTCTCGTTCTATCGCGTATTTTTCTTCATGTATTCTCTTTGCTTTCTTTCTATTTTTTTTCCAACAGTATTATTTTATCTTTTGGTTTATTCCAACTATATGCTCGAACATCGTATATAAATCTATTATTTTCGAAATATGAAGACGAAACAATATGTGAAATAAAAGCTAAAGGAGTAGACTTTCAGTAATCATTCTACTAGAGTCTCAATAAAATTACATACACACATCGACGTAAAATATATACAGCACTGGTAAGAAGAAATTACTAGGAATTTTCAGATGAGAATGGTAAGTTTTATTAGATCAGTTGAATGTTCAGCGTTTATTTTTTTACATGGAAATTTTCTTTAGAAATAAGAATTGACAAAAAAAAAAAGAAATTTTATGATTTTCAATTGTCGAATATTAAAATTTAAATGCAAACGACAACTGATAAAATTCTTTTAATCACAAATTTGCATTTTAGCTTATTCGATAGGAAAAATTTTCTACTGTTTTAACTAAAATATCCCATTTAGAGATTATAAAATAAAGTATAGAATCGTTTTATAACCTCTCTAAAAGAAAAATGCGAAAAAATATTGTCATAATTCCAGAAAATAAAATTGAATTGTACTATAAAATAAAAAAAGTTTTATTTTTATTTTTTATTCATCAATGTAAAACTTTTCAATGAAAAAAATAAATTTCATTTTTTTTCTATTCAGGGTCATGAGCCTTGAAGACGTTTTCGAATAGACACATTAAACAAGTTAATAGTAAACCAAGTATAGAAGGAAAAGAAAAATAAAAGCAGGTTTTTTTTTTCTTTTCCTTTGAAAGGATCGAAAGACACGCTCGTTGATGTAACTCGCTTTCGTTGTTTTTTTTTTGTTGACGCTCTATGTTGCTGACGACACGCGTGTATGTTTACTGTCTATTTTCTGTTGTATAATGGGTAATTTATAATTGCCCTTTCGTTTTTTTCCCAGTCTCTTTTTCTTCGCTTTCTCTATGGTTTTTTTCCTAGGTTTACAAGGAAAAAATGTATAAAAGCAGAGACATGCATCAAAGAAATGCATGTTTAACTTTTTCACAACAAATGCTCGAACACGAAGCAGTCAATTTACAGGCAATATATCTTGTAGTGATCGCTTGTCAAAGGGATATGAAATAGTTTTTTTTCGTCGTTGGGCTAGTTGAAACATTTCTGTAGATACTTCATATTTGTCAATAAATAAATTATTTCAATGGAAAATAAGTCCTTGTAGTTTTAGAGGTTGATTGATATATTTGACTGAGCATGAAAACTTATCTATAGAATTATATAGCATTTCAAATAAATTAAAAATTACATATTTTGATTTCGAGTGAAAAAATATTGAATAAATGGAAAGACTCAATCTATAGAATCATTATTGTTTCTATGGGATAATTAAATAATTACTAAAACTACTGAATTTATGCCAAATATTATTTTAATTCATATGAAAAAGTATTTAAAAAAATATATTTACTTTGTTTATATTCCTCTTGTACATTCATAATAAAAGATGAATGATTCATCTTGAGTTTTATTGATTTTTATTTTATCAGTTATGGTAAAGTTTCCAATGTTCATTTCATTCAGAAATAGCAATATTCGAGAAAAAAAACAATAATAATAAACATTCAAATTTATTTATTCGTTCTATAAAGAGAATAAATATTTAAAGTTATCAATCATTTCTCAAATGTATCGATTTTTAAGGAATCGAATATTAAAGATTTATTAATAAAATGACATATGCTTGTCATTGATCGATAGTGGACAAAGTTTCCTCAAAATTAGTCAGATTCGAAGGGAACGATTCCAAAAAAACTAGGATTTATCTGTCTACCACTGATACATCGGAGTACATTGTTCTTTGTCAACTATTACCTGTAAATATTACTTTTATATGAAGCATAAAGGAGAAAATTTTTTCTCATGCAAAAATATAATTGTACCGATTATATTCATAGATTATCTGATTTATATTGAGATGCCTTTTGTTGTCTTTGATTTCTACGATTCCATGCTTTCTATCCACATGCATGTTATCTATTAAATTTCGTTTTACTTTCTTACATCGATACCATTAGAATATTGTATGTTGTTTATGTGGTCATATTGCGGTTATTTGTGTTTCTTTTTTCTCTTTTTGCTAAACGCGAGTGCCAATAAACACATGTCTCTAATCGTAACATGAATAATACATGTGTAAGAAGAACAAAACCAGAAGAAAGAAGACATTTCTTCATCGTTTTTGAAAAGAGGAAACTATGTAATATGATAAAACAAACTTTTTCTTTCTCTTGGACGATGGAGCTTCTTTTTTTTCTTATTTTACAATACAGATTATTATTTATTGAAATTTTTTTAAAATTTTTACGTCATCGGAAGTAATCTTGGATAACCATCATGTTTTATTTTCAGATAAATAAATTTAAAGAAGAGAAAATGAATCCTGTAGAAATTAACCAAAATGATCAACATTCTATTGATCACAGTAATGAATCAATTATGCAAAATTCATCCGTTAGACAACCTATTCAAAGTACAATTTTTGCCGATGATGAACGAAAATATTTGGAAGCAGGCTGTTTAGGTAACGGAGATTAAGGGTAAACAAAAAATGTTTTTGTATTAATGATTAATTTTAGATTATGGAGAATTTAATACGAATCAATCAGATGATCAAGCTAATGACAAACCAATACGATCTGCATTACTCGATGAACCATTATTGTTGATTGATCTCGATAATTCACCAAAATCTCAATCTGGTAAGTTAGAAAATAACAAACATGAATCATGTTATCTTTTGTATATATTGATTACAGACGTTTCGATTAGAACTGTTGAAGCACTTCCGACTGTTGTTAGAAAGAAATTCAAGAAATCAACGATTGAAAATAAGACTAGTAAAAGAAGTAAGAAATTTTTTGAAGATTGATATAAAAATATGAACAAAATAAATCACAGAAATGTAAAATTGTTAATTGATTTCGTCTCTTTGGATTTTTAAGAATTTTAATCAATTCCGAAAAAAAAGAGCTGCGAAATCTAATATTCATATTGTAAGTTTTATTTGATTAATTTTTTAGGAAAGTATTGTTATAATGATCATAAATTTCATATTGAAATCAACGATGAAGAGAAGCAGAATGAATTCGGGTAGGAAATTTCAACTTGATAAAACTGATTTTATCTGAATAATAATTTTTTAGTTTGAAAATGTTGCTTAAAAAATCAATAGAATTTAAAGTTAACAATAAATTATTCACAATTGACGTGAATAATTTAACTTCAGGTCAAAATCTCGGTGTAGGAAAATATGGCTTTGTCCAAAAAGTGAACATTGAACAGAATGGTGGCATTGATATTGCAGTTAAAGTACGTAAAATTCAAAGGAAATTATTCTTATTATTTGATTTTTATAGCGAATACAATTAAGAACAGAACCTGAATATGCCGCTGTAATACATACGGAATTGAAAATGGCAAAAGAAATACTGAATTCAAATCGTTATCCATATCTTCTAGATTATTATGGCCTAATAATTGATACAGTAAATAAATTTTTTCTCTTTTTATTGTCGAAAATTGTTTTTATTTTTGTATTTTAAGGACAATAGCGAATTATGCATCTGTATGCAATTAATGGATTCGACAATGAAATCATTTTATGAAACAATGCATTTATACAATGAAATCATGCCTAATAATCTGGACCTTTTTATTAGCCGTTTAATTCATAATGTAAGAAACTAAATTAATTAGAATTTCTAATTTGTAATTTTATCATTTTATAGGTTATCACTGCACTTGAATTCTTAGCAAAGAAAAATTATTTTCATCGTGATATTAAACCAGAAAATATTCTTATTAATAATCATGGCGTTTTTAAATTAAGTGATTATGGAATTTGTTGTAGCAAAGATGATATTAATTCAAACAAATATCGTCTAATGGGAACAATTCATTATTTATCACCTGAAATTCTTGAAACGCCACCACATATTTGTTCAGTTCAAAGTGAATTATGGGCTTTAGGAATCACTTTAATTGAAATTGTTAATGGTCAACATCCATATATTAGTTCAAATTCGTTGGATCAATGTATAAAAATCAACAATTACAATCCAACAATTTCTAATAAGATTATTTCGAAAGAAATCGAAGATTTCATTTTAAGTTTGTAGGTTGTTTTATGTTCACGTTGATTTTAATTATTATAGCTTTTTATTTTTCTTATTAGATTGAAACGAAATGTTCAAGATCGTCCAATTTCTTATGATGAAATTCTTAATATGCTGTTTATCAAGAGAATTCCAAACGAACCAACAATCAATGAATTAAACTTTATTAAATCAGTAATCGAAATCATTCAAGAATTAGCCATTGAAGTTAAAGAATGAAGATGATTAATGGTTTATTTTCTTTTGAAATCTAATTCATGTTGAACACGTCGGTTTGATAAAAATCAAATGGAATAAAAAATAAAACTTGTTTAAATTTTGGTATATCTTCTTAATTAATTAAACATTAATTCAATTCAAATGGTATTTTAACTTAGTGAATTTATAAGTATATTTACTGTTCCTTCTGTGTTGCAGATTCGATTTTGCGGGTATTTTAAAATTCATAAGTGAATTTTGTAACATTTTTACACGTTTCTTTTTGTTATTACAAATTCATTTGCATCAAATACAAAAAAAAATCAAAATTAGATTTAGAATGAAGTTGTATCCAAAAAAAAAATTTGTATTTTTTAATATCTATTATGATTATTCTTATAGAATAATGTTTTTTTTAAAATAAAATCTTATGTGTTTTCTAAGTTATTTTCATGTAATATATTAGATCTGAACAAGTACGACTTGCTTCCAGTTGATGACTAAGAATTTAAATTGAATTCTTTAACTTTGGAAAACAGAACTTCAAAGAAATAATCAATTTAATGATATATAAGAGAAAAGGAATCGTTTACCTAGCACAATCAATGTTAAATGTATGAAGGAATAAATTAAACATATATATTTTAGTTGTGAGTTTCCTCTGAATCCAACATCACAGATAGTAAAAAACTTTTCATTTCAAAACATGCAAACTATTACCTAAGTTTACCATTCGGTTATATCCGTATGAA